AGGAAAGGTTCTGAAATAATATTTTGGGGAGTATGGTCATTTTGACTGCGTTGATGCGCCCAATCCAGGACAAGGAAGAGAACTGCCAGAGTGGTAATATGTCTCAGAAGTGGATAATAGTTGGTTGCTCTTTAGCAGCGGAACTGGACCTCCTAGCTACTGAACAAGTGGAGAAGGCCCTTAGATGGGCCATTTTACACCAGTGCTAACAAGTCAGGTACAATGTTATCTAGGAAGTTAAATGCAGTGAACTGCTTCCACAAATTGATCTGCCTCCGCTCTGCCCAAGGAGACTTAACATCAGTGACTTAAACCCTTGTATGTTATGAGAATAGATGTTCAGAGGTCTGCTAGCCATAACGACAGGGGATGGAATAGCTGTGATGGCTTATAGACAGAGGCAAGATGGCCCGGGTAGAAGAGTACCATAGGTTGGCTTGTGACCAAAGCCTGCAGGATTGGGAGGGAGGGCAAGAGAGGGGGAGGAAGGGAGGAAGGACCAGAGAAAGAAAGACCGAAGAAGAGGGAAAAGAAAACAGGAACTGAAGAAGGATGCAAAGACATAAATCAGTTGCCACTCCAAGAGTGGACCACATCCACAATAAAGGATGTCAGTTGTGGGGAACTCCCAATGCCAGACACATGGCTTGGGTAACAAATAGAGTGAACCTGGAGGGTATAGTAGGGGACCCTGGAGGCGAAGGAGGGAAAGGACAATAGAGCCCGAATGTGAACTGTACACACAGGCGGCCGGCCCAAAAGAGGTCCACTGCGGCCGGCCCCCCTCTGCACCAGGCGGGAGGTATTTGGGGAGGTACCAGCAAAAAACAGCTGTAGCAAACTTAGGTAAAAGGGCCCACAGATACCGGCTTTGTCTAACAAAAATGGAGGTGCCTTGAAGTAAATGAAGTATATAATCTGCCATTTGTAGTAAAATTGCTTGTGTTGTCAAAAATGAGCAGCGATACAGACAAAGAGGAAGAGAACTCAATATATAGGGTGACTTGCATAATGTCATATGCAAGTTTATATTTTGTCATACACTTCTGACATCCTTTGTTTCAGCAGCATTAAATTACCTAAAGCTATAGGTTTCTCCCAGTCCAGCAATTTACTGGTCTGTGAAAGTTTGCAGATCCTTAACTAGCAGCAGGTTGGTCAACAGCACTCCATGTTCTCAGTAAGGCTCCATGCACACTGGACGTTTTACTAACGCTGGTAACTTTAGCTGTGTAAAGTCACGTTAAAAACGTGCGTTTTTCATCAGTTTTTAGTAATTTTGTATTAGCATTTAGCCGCGTTTTTGTTTTTTTAGAGATTTTTTTGGTCAAAAAAAGTCCAAAAACGCTGGTTTGCCACGATTTACCACGTTTTGCAGTGTTAGAGCATTTTTACAGCTAAAACTCCTCTAGAAGCTCACTAGTTATGTTTTTTTTCCAGCCAAAATCGTTGATTACAGTCTGTGTGTGCATGGACACATAGGATAACATGCTGGGGAGTTTACTGGCTGCAGAAAAAAACCCGTCAAAAGCCATAAACAGCATCTGTAAAAATGTCCAGTGTGCATGAGGACTAAAGCTAGTGAAGGCCTCTGAATAGCCAGAAATCAAAATATGCCAGCTGCAGGCTTCCCGCCTACAACTTTTTCAGTTTTCCTTCAGCAAGAATAATCACCTTAAAAACAAGCATGCCAATGCTTGTAGTACTCAGGATTTCAATCTCAAAACTAAACCTTAACTAGATGACATTGCATTTCCTATTCACTGTGCATCGTGACCAATCGCCATGCTTTTTTTTTACCTTTTTCATAAAATACAGTTTTAATTTTTTTCCATCTTTTGTGCTTTTCAGTGCTGATGATCTGTAGGCTCGAGACACTTTTTGTCTAAATGTACTGGCTCTGGGTCAACTTCACATCATTATTCAGCACTGGCTTCTTGTGAATGACAACAGTGGAACATAGCTGTGTAATCAGGAGCCAACTATCACCTCATAACAGGAAGTGCCTGAACAAGGAAATTCCTGGTAGGATAAAAACACTATTGTAATGAAATCTATATCATTTATAGCAAGAAAGAAAGATGTAAAAAGAATTCCCCTTGCAAAGAAGACAGGTGAAGCTTACCTTTCCCACTTCCCATGCACCTGAATATCTGAAGAATCTTAAAAATGTGCAACTTCCTGGAGTATTGGATTCCTGGTTCTCCACCTACACTCCACCTACTGTGTCCCATTGGGTGCAGTCAGGGACCAGGACTCAAATATTCCTGGAAGCAGGAGATTCTTCCGGCATGGATTTTGCTTCAGTACAGGACGTTTGGTTACATAGGAGGATGTGGAAGTATGTACTTACATAATTGCAGGGGACACTTTGTTTAGCCACAAAAAATGAAAAATTGTATCATATACTTTCCATAATTTACCTTTCCCAGTGCCAATCCATGGCAACATACGCGAAGTAGTATGCTGCCATGTTGGTGCCAGGAACACAGGAAGTAACAAATGCAGTAATTTTTAATATTCTGGAGCCAATCCATATGCTGCCATGTTGGAGCCAGGAAAGGTGCATTTGAAAAAAAGATTGATATTAAACTAGATTCATCTACAGCTAAAGTAGAAATATTTTTAATAACACATTTTGCACTTGTTATGGCCTGTGGGGAAAAACAAAATCACATACATTTTATTTTGATTATTAAATGTAAGTAATCCAACTTCAACATTTTCTATATGTATTTTTTTATTTAAAAATTAAATATCTGAATGTGATGGAAAAGAGTCAATGAATGAAAACAGACTTCAGCCTAAAAATGCTACCAGTTGAAGGCACTGTTTGATTTCCATACTTCTGGAGCTAAATTCACAATATTCATGTGATCTGTTTTAAACTAGCCAAAAGGGGTGAACACCAGGGCCCACGTTCCCAGAAAATACTGAGTTTACCCATATTTAGCCCTTCATATTATCTAGAATTTTAACAAAGGATTAAACAATTAGAAGGAACAAAAAAAAAAGAAAATCAAAATATTGATTTCAAGAATATCCACCAACCTAAGTAGAAACAAGTGTCAACATTAGACACTCCCATAAATCCAATGCACTGGCTATGTGGTTCCAGTGACATGTCCAGCCCAAAATTACTGTGTTAAACAAGTTATGTTTATAGTTTGGGCTGTGTGGCATTAATATGTACCAAATGTCTACAGGCAGCCATATTGTGACAAAGCAATCACTATGAATAAGCATAAGTGACTTCTTTAGCCAAGCAATGTTCGTATGACTTGTATGTATTAAAGAAAATTTGGGCTTATTAAATAAGGCAAACAGCAATGTACAAAGTGTAGTAACCCATAACAACCAATCACTTTTCATTGTTCTGACTACTTCCAATAAAAATACATTTGGTTGGGTCCACTATTTCTGCACTTTGTAAACCACATCTTTATAAACTATGCCCAAATGCACAGCAGTGTGCACAGGTGGAGCTAATTTACTAAGATAGAAAAGAAAACAGATCTCCTCCCACATCATAGTAATGAATTCAACAATATAAAATCGTCAAGTATAAATTACGCTGCAAATGAAACAATAAAAAACAAAACAAAGCAGAATACATTTTGTATTCATTATCTTCTGATGCTAGAAAGGCTACATTGATTTGTATAGAATCACACATCAGTCAGTATTGGAGATGAATGTATTGTTGATGAAAATTATAATGGGCAGTTGCCTTCTCAGAACACTGCTTTATAACATGTAGCACAAGAAAACGTGCTTAAGATGCACTCTAACATAGAGCACAGAAGAATCTCAACACCAAGCTGTACGACTCAATGCGTTTCCTCCACAGTGGGAAAAGTGCAATCGTTAAAATGTTGTGGCTTTATAGCAAAGCTGTCACTAAAGTAATAAGATCACCAAATATCCTGGCTTTATAGAGTGTACTGGTGGAATGAAACCATTTGTAGTGTTAATCCATATGTGTCATGGCCAGTGCCAGTTGAGGTTAAGATTCATTTCACACAGTTTTTACATCCAGGCTTAAGCCAGTCTCTTGGGATCCTCCAAGATAGCCAAGCACATAAGTTTTCTTTGTAAGAAATACATTGGCACATTTCTTTTTTTGACACAGTGAAGGTTAACACCTGACATGGCACCTTAATGAAATGTCCTTTACGATAAATGTCAGACCTGAAGGTGAAGAGATGACAAAGTCCACTTGTGAGTTTAAAGTAAAAATGTTCTTGGAGGAGAGAAGTGCTAGAAATTTCAGCTTGTGGTCCACACATGTCATTTCTCCTCTGAACAGTTATTCACAATAATTTAATTATTGTAAAAAAAACAAATACCAGCAAGTTGCTCCAATGAGAACATTGGTGCTAAAGTATACATGCACCATCACAAAGTGTAGATAGGCATTTTGTGAACTGAGCTAATGTTCATTAAACAGGTTCCCAATAAAGATTTTGAAGCAGGTGAATTCTGCATATTAACCACATTGAAGCCTCAAGAACAGAAGCCCTGATCCAAGGTGAAGGAGGCTCCAAATATCCAAAGATTAGCAAACTGTCCGCTGCTCACTTTGGTGTAAGGCAGGTGTGTTGCATACATGTTCCCTACTCTGCCAATCCATTGATTAGAGGATGCATGCTATAAAGCTCCCATCACCACTCACACAGTCACGCATGAGTATGAAACCCTGCATACAGGAACTGCAAACAACAGGACTAGGAACTGTTCAGAGGATCAGTATCATGTGATAGAGTGTCACCTACACAGACATGAACTCATCTCCTCCTTCTGTTTTTGAGTATTATTATTATACAGGATTTATATAGCGCCAACGGTTTCCTCAGCGCTTTACATTATACTGTGTCAGTTCACAATATGACTGTCTCCAATAAGTGCAGGTAACAATGAAATCATTTGTATACATGTCCAATAGCAGCTGTGGCTCTGTGAGCTCCTCCACTCTCCCAGAGAAAGGCATGTAGCGAGTGCTAGGAGCTTTGGATTAAACGTCTGTAATGGGGCATAACTTCATGCTCTGGTAAGTGAAGAGCAAACTCCAAGGCAACCAGGACAGGAAATTCAAATGCCATCAACTCACGTCTGTTCAAACGAAACTTCTCTTCCAGTTTCTAAGGAGAAAATCAAACAGCAGTTTATTGTATGTTAAAGACATGCAATAATAAATGTTTTGATAATTAAAAGAAGCAAAAAACAAAAACAAAAAAAAAAAGGGTATTTAGGAGAGGATATACATCAGAATCCTGTGATGGCTATCCCTGATTCATCAAGTTGGAATAACAACTTCCCATGCACAATCTGTAGACTAAAGTTCCTCAGCATGATGCCCCATACTTAGAGAATGTTAATCTATGTTCACGGCTCCCGGACTCCACTAAGGGATTAGGAAGGTAAAATTATTTAAACAAGCATTTTGGTCAGAGTATTTATCACATTAACGGACACATTCTGATGCTACTAAATTTGGTCTGAGCATCCATGCATAAATAACCCCTGGTCACGAACGGATTAAGATACATTTAAGTGTGCATACAGTAAGCTACAGTGGTTCTCCGGTCTATATTATTGCAAGGCATTTCCATATACCTTCACTGCTTGTTAGCACACATTAAATTGAATCAATTTGGCTAAGCAGGGGTAATTGGGCACTCAGGCATACAGCATTGTCACATGAGGATGGAGAGAGTTCTCAAGTCTGTGTAAACTTGGATTTGAGCCGACATGGGGCTTTGTTTGCTACTTCCACTGGATGAGTTAAGGCACATGAGGCAAATCACTCCTGCAGCTGCGGCACCTCTTTGTCTCCGCCCCCACCTTGACTCAGCAGTTGGCAGCAGAGAGGAGGACAGAACACCTCTGCAAGATCCTGTGCTTTTCCATGCAGAAGCTCATTTCCCCCCCACCCCCCGTCTTAGCAGTCGGCAGCAGATAGGAGGACAGAACTCCTACATATCCTATGCCTCTCTGTGCAGCCGCAGCCCCCCCTCATCTCGGCCTTGCCTGGTCTCAGCTGACTCTGGCAGCTGACTACAGCCCTCCTCTGGTCCTCATCCAGACCCTGCACTTTCTGCTTCTGAGCTCTGCCCCCAGCTTCTTCTTGGCAGAAGCACAAAGTAATGGGGGTGCAGTGTAATATAAAAGGAAGGTGGGGGGCTCTTGACATTTAATGTAAGGAGGAGGAAGAGGTGGGGTGCTCTGGACATCTAGTATTACAGATACAACGGCCCTTTAAAGACCAACATAATGCTGATGCGGACCGCAATGAAACGGAGTTCAACAGCCCTGAGTTAAGGGAAGAGAAGTATAAACAGCTGAGGAAGGGGTGGTTATTTGAACCCGTAGCATTGTTCTGCAGGGGCAAATCTCATGTTCATATTAAGTGCTATTACAGATATGAATCTGTGATTTTATCTTTTCACAACTGCAAGGCTCCAAAGGGGATAAGATAAAAGTACAGGCAATTTAGAAAAACTATCAAAGAAAGCTTTAATAAAATATGAGTTTTCACTATGCAATCATGATAAAATAACAATCATAATAGTAATATGTGACAAACTCTAATGAGCCACACTAAGTGGTGGATTTCTAGACATTCACTGCACACTTGCTAAGCTGACACTGCTCTAATTTTAAAGCATGTTTGTACCATTTGCCAAGATCTGTACTTCTATAATAGAAGGAGCTGACAAAAACATTTCCCTAGTGATAACCTGGTGAATGTAACATTTGTCTGGCTATCGCATCATTTCAATGTGGATGCTGCTAGTTTCTTATTGGTGTGGGAGGCTCTTCAACCATGGTTCATTGTTGGCTCAGAAATAATGATCTACTGTCTTTCCATACTGTGGATAGAAGTAGTGAGATGTTTCTTGGTAGAGGTCAGATAGCTTTACCCGTATTATACTCAAACAGCAATGCTTCTTCAGAACTTTTCCTTTTAATGACCTATGCAATGAAGAGGTAATGCAGAGGTTTTGGCTCCCAGCTTCCCAGTGATGCAGGACCTTTCAGAAATGTTTCTAAGAGAATCTTAATCTTCTGGTAACCATGAATGGTGCATGCCCTGTGTTGGTGCAAACTTGGTATAAATTATGCCAAGGAGGTTCTCAGACAGAAGCACAACTTCAGAAAAGGGTCTTTTACTTGCTAGGGGGACACCATAGACTGAACTCAAATTGAGATTGCACCACCATACCAGAGAGAAAAAGAAAAATCACATATTGTGTATTGATTTTTGATGGTGGCTGGCCACACATGATCGGGCTGCTGAGTGTTCTAAAAAAAGATCCTTCCAAATGTGCATTTTTTTGGTCTTTCAGGTGACAGGTGTCTCGGGTGGAAAACAACAGAGAAAGGAAGAACAAGAAGACCCATCACTTGATTCCTCAGCTTCCAAAAGACTTGGCCAGACTTGGTCAAAATGTTGGTAAAAGGTCCACAGAAAAAATACATTCCCCTACTCAGGCAACAGTATGCATATTTGCTAACAATTTGGCCACCAAAGACATCAAAACAAAATATATTTTTGTTTGGACTGGCATTCTCTAAAGTGTAATTAAAGCCAAAACATTTTTTGGCTAGTGTGAGGAAAGGCAAGTACCTCTGTAAGGCTATTACCGCAGTCTACATCCCCACTAATAAGATTTCCCTGCATTTCTGGTAAACAGAGATACAACAAAAATAACTAGAATCTCTTTAAAATAAAGGACAATCCCACCTTTGTCACTGCAATAGGTGTCAGTATGCATTCAGGGCCACTCTCCCGCACCTGCACACCTGTCAAATTAGGACCTGCAGCTGTGTTCATAGAGACACTACATCACCATAGAGTAACAAGCAGCTCCAGCTGCACAAACCACTCGTTCACATTGTTTGGGCCAGAGAACCCATGTGAATGAGCCCTTAATTTTTAAAATTTTTTTAAACATTTTTAATTTTTTTAAAATAATTGATTGCAATGTTTTTGATTTTTTTTTTTCACATTTGTGGGGGGGGGGGGGGGGGTGGACGGTATCAGTATGGTAGTGGATGGTGTCAGTCAAAGCAGAAGATGGTATCACAGTAGGGCAGTGGATATTGTTGCAATTGTACATACAAATATGGATGTGAACATCCATTTTGCTAAAGGTCCTCCATCTTGTGTCATCCTCATTCCAGATTAGCCCCCCTTCCTTCTTGTTGAATGGCCCGTGGGCCTTGTGTGCTGAGTTCAGGAGTGCACAGGGCACAGCTGGATATCTTTCATGGTTGTAAACCCAATTAGCTGGTTTCAGGGTGTCTGGTAGACTCTTGCTCTGAAGCTGATCATAAAGCTATAAACCCGTCAGTCACTGGACTTCAAAAGCATTCTGAAATAGCAGTAAAACCTGCATCCCATGTGAAACCACTTTTTCATACAATTTCTCGTAGGAAATACATACAATAAAACAAGACATATAGTCAGAGAGGTAATTTTAATACAAGTCACCTGATACCTTACACCCCTAGACTACGTCTACCCTAGAGCAGAAAGCGATATATCTCCTTAACCGTCACAGCCAGATATGTCATATGTGATGTCTGGACGTTCAGAATATTGTTCTGCATATTATCCTGCCAGTGGATAGGATGCTACATGTACCTATGGAAGGTTATTGACCCTGGTATAACTTGGGAGGGATTTTGGTTCTAGCCTGGGTCTCCGCCTAAACCCCCCCCCTCCCCAAATGAGGCGACTGGCCCTTGGCTTCAGTAGACACCCCCTGCTGGATAACTACAAAATAGGCTGTCAGGCCTGGAGACGTAAGATGAAGAGATCTCCCTTTTAACATCAGGAACCAACTTTGGGAGAAAAGGCACCCTTTTGTTCGGACACTTGAACGCTGCTTAAACCAGGATTTCTGCAAGTATTCTACCTCTCTAAACTTCTTTCTGTTATATATATATATATATATATATATATATATATATATACACACACACTACATCTTTTTCTGTAAATATTTTTATTGCACCATTTTGACCTATTTAGTAATAAATCCTATTATCTGAAAAGTGTTGAACTGTTTCTAAAGCTCTTTAATGCAAACTAAGAATCCCTGTCTCTGAAGAGTGCTACTGTGTGTTTTTAAACTTCTGCATACATCTGCCTGCGGTGACAGTGTGTATACAGACACTTATTCAGACATCATAGTGTTACTGCTAAGATTGGTGAGTTTCCTCCTTCTCTGTACAAAAAGGCGGTGGTGGCAGCGTGAAGGGTTAATTGCGTAATTACCTTGACCCAGTAACATTCGCTCTCAGGCTGCGGCATAGATTGTGGTCCAGTGAGCTGGAAAATCTTTGTGCAGGGTGCAGCTGAGCGTGGCATTGTTACGCACGTGACAGCGCAGTTTTAGATTGGCTAGTCCTTCGGTCACAAGTCGGTGAGAAGAAAGGGCTGGGGGTCCGACGCCGCGCCCGTCACAGATAGTGTCACTAGTTTATTATTTTATTCTTTATTACTTTTTTCAATTTATGTTTTAATATTTTTGTACAATTTTATTTTTTACATTTTTTTTTTTAACTGCCCTGTTGTGGGGGTGATGGGCTTTGGTGAAATATTAGGGGTCTAAATAGACCCCTGAAGTCCCACGTTTGAGACAGAGAAAGGGACTGAAGAAGCCCATTCCCCAGTATTTTTTTCTGTAGCCTCAAGTGCACTGCAGAATGAATGAACAGGAGACAGAGGCTGTTTTACTGTTTATTATGCTTCAGTTATGAATGAACACAGTGAGTGATCTGTACCAATCACTCACTGAGTTCATTCAGAAAAGGAAGGGGCTGACAAATGACATATTTACTGGCCACTTGCCTGCTCTCCATCCTGAAGAGAGGAGGGAAGCCAGCAGCACTATGGGGAGGGGGCATGGGGAACAGCAGCTGGGGGAATTGGACAGTGGACAGGAGGAGGTGATAGGTGCGGTGGTGGGTCAATTAGAGGAACTGATCTCCTCTCTGTACAGCAGCTGAAGGCAGCAGCAGAGAGAGGAAACTAAGCTGGCTTTCAGCTGCTGTACAAACAACCACACAGGGGATTGCTTCCTCTAACTGCCTTCCCGCCATATCCTCCACCCCCTCCTGTCCACAGCTGTGGGAGATTTCTGTGCATTTTGGATGAGTTCACCTGCAGGGTGGTTCGGAAAACTGCAGCAGTCTTGCAGTTTTCCACACTGCTCTGCTTCATAGGTGACAGCTGCAGGGAAGTGTGAATGTGGCACACGGTAAACCATTGCTTTCTCTGTGTCCTTGCAGAGAGTTGAGTTTTTCTTCTACAGAAGAATGCAGCTCTTTGCTATAGTGTGAACGGGCCCTTAGGGAAGATGACCTATGAAATCTGACTGAGGTTATAATTCTTCCTTACTCTTCCCAATGCAAATGTTTTTCCCCATTTCTTGCAAGTCACATTTCCACATCATTTACATGTGTATGCTCCTCTGAAGGTAGCAGGAGGTTCTACAGAATATCACTTGGTGAACAGTAAAGTATGAATTGGAGCTTATAACTGCCTTGAATTTCTGTGTATAATATATTTGTATGTTATTGTACCAAGTGGTTTATCTAAATAATTGTATTCTGGTGGCACTGTGGCAATAAGGCTCATGTACTTACATCAATGAGGTGTTTGACTTCATGTTTTCGGAGATCACTCCCAATTTTGGCAGCTAACAGGATGCAGGCTCCAGCACAAAGCTTTCTGTTTTGTTTGTTCAACTTCCCCTTCAATGCAAGCTTCTCAAAATATACAAATGCCATGGCCACAGTAGGCTCTTCATAGCCACATTCCTCCTGTGCCAGCTTGCGAATATCCCGCTTCAGGCTAGAAACAAAGACAAGCATGTTGCTCATGGACGCTACTGAAATGTCAATGTAGATGAATCTGTGGTGGTTTAAACTACTGATCTTTTTAGGAGATCTACTATAGGAGTTTCAGCCTAGGGCTAATAAAAGATTAATCAACAGATTTCATATTGACTCTTCTGAATAACCATTTTGAAGGAGGATCATAAATGTGGATACGTGCATGGCATGAAAATAATGCAACGGCAATTTTACACTTGAATTACACAATGTCAATATTAAAAGGGAATATAATAATCCAACTGTACAATATGCACATTTGTCAATGTACTGTATATGGTCATTCTATGACTGCTTTAACTCAAGTCTGCAACATCCAAGGGTCACTGCAGACATTGTACACCTTTATATAAAGCAGTTATCATGCACTCATATCATTTGACCTATGAGCTATCCAAAAGGCCATAACTGCAATATTCCTCTGATTTCAAGGTAGTAGGGGTTCAGAAAGTTAGGTTCTGACCTTGTTTTTTTTAGCACTGGCCACACAGATAAATATGTAAATTTTTAGGATTAGTTTTTTAAAAAGGTAGGTTTTCAATACTTCGGCTAGTTCTGGGTTCTGTGTTGGGCGATCAAAGAAAATGTTTTTTACCCAAAACACACTGGTTTCTACGACATCATTTAGGGTCATTTGCATAAATCTTCTTGCTTTAACCTTCCCGGTAGTTTATAGCAATATAATTATGTCTATGATCAAAGACCAATGTCACCTACTTGTATGCCTAGGGGAACAATTTATTGTGCTTACAGAGAGATTTTCCAGTTCCACCGACTGCCATTGGCAGTGCAGAGGGTCCTGGTGTTATTACAAAGATCCAAAGATACAGTACTGGAATATATTAATAGGACAAAGCCTGCAGTGTGTGTGGCCAGTACATGACTGACACATTCCATGCTTTGTTTTTAAAATGCATTTATTAAAAACAAAGCTTGGGGGAAAAAAATATGATAAAATATTTACAATTGGCTTAAACTACAATTCTCAAAGCTTTACATAAAGAATCTAAAGGGATAAGTTCACCTTTAAAAAATAAATAAATAAATGCACATCTTTTAGCAGGTAAAAAAAAAAATGTGCATTTTTTTTTTTTTTTTTTTACTTGGGAGTCTAGAAAGCATTGCACCCGTGATCAGCAGAACGTGGGTGTTATGCAGGAGTCCTGCAGATTTGTCAGTGTATCTGTCTGCTCGTACGGGAAAGTAGATACACACTGACAGGAAGAGACAATGAACTACCACAGCACTCAACAGGGTGGAGTAAGGCACAGCCGCGTTCTTTTTTAAATAGTGACAGCTGACGGGGAGAGAAGATCACCCTCTAGCTGTCACTAGATGCAGCGGAGCAGGCAGCGGCTCAGGGAGTTGGAACATATTACATGTTTCTAAAGGTGAACTTATCCTTTAACTTTCAGTCAGATTACTGTAATTTAAAAAGTAGGAACCCCTATCTTTTAGTTTTTGCTAATGTGTCATTGGTGGATTCTTCTGTAGATGAAAATGTGACATACCTTCTTATTTTGCTAAGAGTAAGCTTGATATGAGGAAATTTTTCTTTGAAAGTCTCATTCATATCTCTCTTGAGGTCAGATGGTTTCACATATTCTATTATAGTGGTCTGAAATGTAAAGAAGATTTAAAAGATGCTTAGGCTAATTTATTGATAGCCTGCAGTTGTCCAGCAGTGTGTGACAGGAAGTACAAAATACATATCCATTCTATTCTTAGTATAACAGCAAAACAGAGCAGATAAGGGACAAGACTTGCCATGTAAGAAGGGAATATTAGAACCCGCTTGTGCTTGCCACATGGCCACTGAGGATCATCCAGGAGATTTGGATCGTACTCGGTAAAGTCTCCTATGTCACTTCCTAATTCAAATATAGGAAACAATAAAAATAGCCTATTAGTTATTTGAATGGATAAAATACTAGGGCGGCCATTATTGGCCTCCTTCAATAAATGACTCTTTCCAGTTTGGCTTCTATTCTTCTGAATCACAAACCAAGAACAAGCACACATATGAAAGTCTTCTTTAGAAGGAGAGGTCAACAATGGCAGCCCACACATCTCTCATGACAAGTTTGCTTTAAAACACAACTGTAGCTAAGTAATAAATGAATGGTGTGAAAAAAATGTAGGCGCCATAAAAGAAACGCTATCACTTTGTCAATTCAGGACAAAGGGACAATGTCTTTGAAAAGAGCATCCCTGGACCCCCATATATTCAAATTACCTGTGATCCCTTTCAGCTCCTTGTTCCTCTGCAGATGGAACGGACATAGTCTGTGGTGGCCAACCAGGGAAGCATTGACGTCACTCTCCTGGGCATGTCCAGGCCTAGCAATTGGCTGCAAGGCCAGGGCAAAGTCACAGCATAAAAGGTCACATGTTTCTCTATACCTGAAGGTGCCAGATATTCTTGCTGGCTTGGAAGGAGCAAGGAGCTGTAAAAGGGAGCAAAGAGGTAATGAGAGTACAATGCCTTGAAAAGTATTCATTCCCCTTGAAATTTTCCAAATTTTGTCATGTTACAACCTAAAACATAAATGTATTTTATTGTAATTTTATGCGATAGACCAACACAAAATGGCACATAATTGTGAAGTGGACAGAAAATGATAAATGGTTTTCAATTTTTTTTTTACAAATAATTATCTGAAAAGTATGGCATGCATTTGTATTCAGCCCCCTTTACTCTGATACCCCTAACTAAAATCTAGCGTAACCAACTGCCTTCAGAAGTCACCTAATTAGTAAATTAGTCCACCTGTGTGTAATTTAATCTCTGTATAAATACAGCTGTTCTGTGAAGCCCTTAGAGGTTTGTTAGAGAACATTAGTGAACAAAGAGCATTATGAAGGCCAAGGACAACCAGACAGGTCAGGGATAAAGTTGTAGATAAGTTTAAAGCAGGGTTAGGTTATAAAAAATATCCTGAGCTTTGAACATCTCATGGAGTGCTGTTCAATCCACCATCCGAAAATGGAAAGAGTATAGCACAACTGCAAACCTACCAAGACATGGCCGTCCACCTAAACTGATAGGCGGGGCAAGGAGAGCATTAATCAGAGAAGCAGCCAAGAGGCTCATGGTAACTCTGGAGGAGCTGCAAAGATCCACAGCTCAGGTGGGAGAATCTGTCCACAGGAGGACAACTATTAGTTGTACACTCCACAAATCTGGCCTTTATGGAAGAGTGGCAAGAGGAAAGTCATTGTTGAAAGAAAGCCATAAGAAGTCCAGTTTGCAGTTTGCTTGAAGTCATGTAGGGGACACAGCAAACATGTGGAAGAAGGTGCTCTGGTCAGATGAGACCAAAATGTTACTTTTTGGCCTAAAAGCAAAATGCTATGTGTGGCAGAAAACTATCACTGCACATCACCCTGAACACACCATCTCCAAAATGAAATGTGGTGGTGGCAGCATCATGTTGTGGGGATGATTTTCTTCAGCAGGGACAGGGAAGCTGGTCAGAGTTGATGTGAAGATGGATGGAGCCAAATACAGTGCAATCTTAGAATAAAACCTGTTAGAGTCTGCAAAAGATTTGAGACTGGGGCAGAGGTTCACCTTCCAGCAGGGCAACGACCCTAAACATACAGCCAGAGCTACAAAGGAATGGTTTAGATCAAAGCATATTTATGTGTTAGAATGGCCCAGTCAACGTCTAAACCTAAATCCAATTGAGGATCTGTAGAAAGACTTGAAAATTGCTGTTCACAGATGCTCTCCATCCAATCTGACAGAGCTTGAGCTATTTTGCAAAGAAGAATGGGCAAAAATGTAACTCTCTAGATGTGCAAAGCTGGTAGAGACAAATCCAAAAAGACTTGCAGCTGTAATTGCAGCGAAATGTGGTTCTACAAAGTATTGACTCAGGGGGGCTGAATACAAATGCATGCCACACTTTCTATATATTTGTAAAAAATTTAGAAAACCATTTATCATTTTCCTTCCACTTCACAATTATGTGCCACTTTGTGTTGGTCTATCACATAAAATACATTTAGGTTTTTGGTTGTAACATGACAAAATGTGGAAAATTTCAAGGGGTATGAATACTTTTTCAAGGCACTGTATATAGGAGTCGGAATGCCCATTCGAATACAGTCACCTTGACCTGCATGGCAAGATAACAGTGTCCACTTATCTGCAATGAAGTATGTCCCACGTCATGCAGGCTGCTGCTTTGTGCAGAAATATCCTCTGCAGAATGCCGGTTCTATTCTTGGTTCTGAACTTCCGGCACATTGGGATAAGCTTTGGGTTGAACCGTATTCAAGTGGGTCCAATAGGGAACCTGCCCCCTCATTCCTCTTATCTATTAGGAAAAGCCCATGTATTTACTTTTTTTGTAAATCTTTTATTTGTACAAATGGCGTACAATGCAAAAGCAAGTAGTATGTCAAATTAAGTACAGAGAATAACAGTGAAAATGTCAAAGCATCATATTGTACATTAGAAAAGGTAATATCAGAGTATGTCAGGGCCCCAGAAAGGCTCAACGGACGAAAAATATTTTGTACCAAGGAAAGCAGAGCATAGGGCAAGACATAAATCATATTGCAGTAGTTAAGAATTGTCCTGACACTGTGGTGTTTGAATCCACCCTGGTTGTTGGAGGACAGGGTGGTACAAGGAGAGTGTGCTCAAGGTATTGCTGATTATTGGAATACAAATTTGGGCACCGTTGACCCCTCCACGGAGTGGGAGGCATTTAAAACTACCCTCCGTGGAACCTTTATGTCTGTTACTGGTATGTTACATAAAAATGCTCAGGTAGGCACAGAGGAACTGGATGATAGCTGAAAGTAATTATACTGCTAACCCTGGTCCCCTTACTAGAGCGGAATGGCTGTTGAAATGTAGAGACTATGAACTCCGCTTGTTAGACCTTACTAAAAAAAGATGCTATATACTGCCCAAAAAAACTTTTGAACATGGGAAAAAGCAAGGCAGCCTACTGGCTTATTTACTAGGCCTGAATATGTCCCTACTTCTATTCCCCGGATATGTTTACCTTCTGGACAGTTAGGCACTACCCCTGGCAGTTGCGGATACCTTTCTGTCATACTATACTGATCTTTATGCTACTATGGCTGACTACTCCACAGATCAGTTACGCAACTATTTGGCACGGGTTACTCTCCCCTCCTTGTCCACCAGTGTACAAGGGGATCTGGAGGTACCTATCTCAGTTGAGGATTTCACAATTATCAGCTCACAAGACCCCAGGCCTTGATGGCTTTCCAGCTGAGTGGTATGCCTGTGTCAGGTTGCTGATTAGCCCATTCCTTCTTCGGACGTTTAATGAAGCCCTAGAGACAGGTGTCTTGCCTCCCACTATGTGAGAGGCATTGATTGTACTTATTTTGAAACCTCATAAAAGACCCTCTCAAATGTGATTCCTATAGGCCGATTTCCCTCATTAATGTTGATGTTAAAATTCTGGCGAAAGTTTTGGCCAATCGTATGAATGATGTAGTGGAGACTCTGGTGAAGGGAGACCAGGGTGGATTTATACCTGGTCGCTCCACTAGAATGAACATTCGTAGATTGTTTCATAATTTGCAGTACCCTAATGTCTGCTCCTCTTCACGTGTTGTTGTCTCTCTGGACACCTGTAAGGCCTTTGATAGTGTAGAATGGCCCTTATCTATTTCAGGTACTACATCTCTATGGCTTTGGCCCTTGTATGATAGCCTGGATACGTCTGTTCAACATGAAACTTGTGGCTGGAATTAGAGTGAATTCCTATGTTACTGTTGCCTTTCCGATACATAGAGGCACCAGGCAGGGTTGCCCCTTATCGCCCCTATTATTTGCACTAGCGATAGAGCCACTTGCTATTTGTATCCGTAATTCCCCTTCTATTAGAGGTCTTCCTATTGATACGACAGAGGAAAGCATTTCCCTTTATACTAACAATACCATGGTATATTTAGCTGACCCCCATGCCTCATTGTATACTCTACTACAAGAAATTACTCTTTTTGGTGATTACTCTGGCTTCCGGGTAAATTGGAATGAATCTAGCTTATTCCCACTCGATCCTGGTGCTGTGTCTGTGATTCACTTGGAGTCTAAACTACAAGTTGTTACCACGTTCAGATATCTAGGGATTACGATACAACTGCCGTTGTCCTCCTACATTCCTAACAATATATGTCCATTGATTACCCAGTTGCGGATTCATACCAGGCAGTGGATGGATCTGCCATTAGACTTGATGGGAAGGGTTAATATCCTGAAGAAGGTATATCTCCCTAAGCTGTTGTATGTGCTAGCTAATTCCCCTTGCAAAATACCTAAATCCCTATTTAAACAAATTGATACCATTTGTACTGTGTTTCTCTGGAAATATTGCACCCCCAGGATGGCATTGGAGGTCTTTGGCGGGACTGGCCTTCCCTAACTTCTATCTAGATTACCTAGCATCCCAAATTGTTCATATACATGACTGACTGTTTCTTACTTCTGCTAATGCCTGCACTACTACTGAAGCGGCTATCGCTTTGTCCTTGGAAGCCATACATAATATTATTTATCGACGCCAGGTACCTGCCCGTCCTGGTACTACTATGCTATGCACATCCTTATCCTTGTTTACGGTCATGCTGACCCGAATATTTAAAACCTCCTGGGACGTATCTCCCAATAATCCTCTGTGACTTAATCCCACTTTGCAAGAACGCTATTCCCTGCCTGACCCCCAGTGATGGTCTTCTAGAGGAATTAAATATCTATGCCATTTGTTTACTTCCTGGGGTTTTAAGACATTCCAGCTATTGAGTGGAGTTTGACCTACCTCCCTACTACTTAATTTATTAATATCAACTTCAACATGCAGTGAACACGCAATTTGGGACTTTAGATAACCCTTTACAGATTACCCACTTAGAAAAGCTATTAAGACAACTTCCCCCTACTAAGTTTATCTCTATTTATTATTTTGCTCTGATGCTGGACTCCAATCCTAGATTTCGGGTTGCCCAGGCTAGATGGGTTTCAATGGACATACTATTTGAGGAGGCAGACTGGTCCGAATTCAGTGATACCTATATTAAATCTGTTATCTCCTCAAAAGATAGATTTATCCAACTTAAAGTTTGTCATCTCTCATCTTACTTAAGTTAAAGATTCCCTCCCCTTGTATAAACTAACTTTTGAACTCGCGCCCAAAAAAAAAAACGCCCAAAGTATTCCACAAATTATGGGAAATATGGCTTTCCAATCCCCTTACTTTGTCCTCTATAGAACCACTGTTTTGAGTGAGATTTCTCCACCTGTGTTTAGTTGGGTATAGTCCTTTTTTCCTTGGAGTGTATTCATTCAGTTTGTTGTATGCTTTGATATGATGCAAATGTATGGCAATGTGAGCGGTTTTTTGTTTGTTCAATGTTTACTTGTTGGACCTCTGTCCTGGGTTTTGTATCTTTTGTAGGTTTTGTGTTAAAAACCAATAAAAATATCTTAAAAAAAAAAAAAGAAAAATTGCCCTGTAGTAAGAGGGGTTATGGCAAACCTAAGATCGTTAGGACTGACTAATGGGCTGTGAGAATATGAAAAAACAGAATGGGTAAGGTTGCCAACCCACAATGTAGAAGACATACTGATAACAATAAAAATGGGAAGTGGGGGTGATAGGGGAAATTGGGAGTAAACTCTGCAGAAAGGGAGCCAGGGGGCAAAAATGGAGTATAACGGGAAGAACTATATAGAGGGGGAGGGGCCAAAAAAGATGAAGAAGAAGAGAGGAGATAGGTGGGCTAAAGACCAAATGATTACGCATCCTCTCCCAGGGTGTATGAATAGGACAGAAAGAGTAGGAACCTCACCAGTGGCGAGCAAGTTCGGCCAGATATGCATCTGTAAATACAAAGCATCACAAGGGGCGCTACGTGTCTCAGAAGGTCTCTTCTTTGTTGCACAAGGTGGCTGTAAGATCCTCCATATCCCTCAGCTCACCTTGGAACCAAAGAGAGTGTGGTAGGGTGGGTATCCTTCCACTGAAGTGGGATACATGCCTTGGCTGCATTGAGTAGTTTGATAGTAAGAGAGGCCTTATATTTTTTGATGGGTCTCCCCGACAGATGCAGAAGGCAGACCGCTGGGTCGTCATGCAGGTCCACGGCAGTAAGTTGTTTGAAAATGTTAATCACTCCTCAAATGATTGTTTGGAGCTTCAGGCACTGCCAAAAAATATGAAAAAGGGTACCACCATCAGCCCCACAATGCCAGAGTGCAGTGGTGAAGTATGCCAGAGGTTGAAGGGCACCCGATACCATCGCATAAGGAGTTAATAGATGATCTCTTGAACTTTGGTGGCCATGGGGGACTTTTGAGGCCCATGTATTTAGACTGAATGCAACAAATTCTCTAAATTGAGCGTTCCATCATTCATCCAACTCTCTCCCATTCAGAGATTGCGTTATATTCCGTGGAAACATTGCACGGGCCTTTCTCTATGGCGAACAGGAGGGGGCGGGTCCCTTTTGGACTGTATTGAATGCGGTTCAGCCTAAAGATCCATGGCTATTAACCCCTGCCATGCTGGAAGTTGTGTGTTAAGTAGAGGACTGGGTGCCTTGCATAGGAGTTTTCTACATGAAGCAGCAGCCTGCACAATGCGGGACATACTTCATTACAGATAAGGTATGTGTCTGGAACTATAAGGGGAAAAATATCCCTTCTCTAATTCTATGTATTTCCCATACTATTGTGGCATCTCAGCAAAGATAGCCTGTAGGAACATACACTTTACAATCTGATTGTACAAGATATTTAGATTTACCAACAACTATGCAGTTCCAGGGTCTACTGAAACAAACCATTTAATTTACAGCCTTTTTGGTTTACACAAGTTAGTTGTTTTGTAAATCAAATGAGGATTGTACAATTAGATTGTGATGTGTGCAGTTAGCTTTTGATGCGACCAGTTCAGTTGTCATTTAACATCCCAGATTACCACTTTGGGACCACACTCTTCAATACATTAACTAGTTCCCATCACAAATACCTTAAAACCTTCATACCTAAAAATTTTTTTTACTGCTGTGATCATTTCTTTTTCCTCTGTTGCAGTAATCCATAATCAATGCAGTTAATGGCACCCCAAAAGCTCAACAGGTAATCAGTTTTATAATAAATGTTTATCAGCAACTGCTAAACTGAATTCATTAAACAGCAACCTATAGAGTTTAGAAAAAAAACAGTGCAAGGGGCAGACAGAAGTAGACATCAGCGTGCACTAGTCAGGTAATACTAAACAGATGACAGTTGATCTCTCATTGGTTTTCCTTGCCTACTGCCCTTTTGACCAGAGTATTAAATACAACCCACAGTGCACCAATAAGTATAAGGTATATAACTTACACATGAATAGAGACTGAAACTGTATCCCCCACCTCATTCACATAAAACACCACAGCCATGTGAGCAACATCTGTAAAATGATCACGTCACCTGTATCGATGCTCCCCTGTACACTGTTGGCTCTTCCCAGGGTCAGGTTGCGGTGACTTGCATTACGAAACTGAGATAAGGAGCAAGTAGAGTCTATTGTATTTCTGCGTCCTCCCAAGGCATTGGTGGGGTATAAAAACTGTGTATATGATACAGTCTAGAGAAGAGAGAAAGTTGCCAGTAGCCGATCAGTGGACATTAAACATTAAGCACAGTTGCTGTCATTTCTTCCACCAGCTCTGCCACAACCGTGGTCTTCCAGATCAATCATGCATTAGAACTATAAGGGCATTCAACTAGCTCCTAACAGTAGAAAATGGCTTTTTGTGAATTATGGAGAATCTACATCCAGCTGCTGTATATCAAGCCCTTTACAATATAATCTAACAAAGTAATAAATGGTTAGTGTGGATTCCAAACAGGCTGCCTGAAATCTGCCATCCACGTGCCCCCTTTCATCATGTCTGGTATATGACAGAATGAGTTCAGTGCCATCATTGTATCCCCTATATATATTTTGCATACACAGCTCTTGTAAAATAGGCCATACTTACCTAAAGAATAAGTTCACCGTCTGACCAAAATAATAAATGCACATTTTTTTGCAGGTAAGAAAACGTGCATTTATTATTTTTGGTTGCAGGAGCCTGTAAAGCATTACACAGCAGATCACTGGTGCCAGGCAGGTCTCCTGCAGATCACGGCACTCCACAGTGCTGTCGTAGTTCATTGAGCCGCTAAGACTGTCAGGACTTGTAGCTCATTAACTCACAGAACTCTGTGAATGAATGACATGGCCATGTGGGTGGAGCTCTATTCAAAAAGTGACAACTGGTACAGGGAACGTCTCTCTGTACTGCTATCATGGGGGAGGTGGAACATGTAACATGTTTCCAAAAGGTGAACTTATCCTTTAAGCTGAGCTAGTCCACAGGTCAACACGGTATGCTACTTAGCAGGCATTAATTAGCAATGGAACAGGTTTTCTGCAATGCCAGCTGTACATCTACTTTTATATCATCCCTCCTATGCCCCCTATAATTGGCAAATCAAACGTAAATGACAGCACAAGTTATGTACCATAACGCCCACTGATTTTCAGAGCCAAAGTGAGGCTTTAAATATTCATCTGTGGTTTTCAGACGTGATCATCTGTACCATAATATTTTCTTAACTTTCTTTTTCTCCATGCTAGATAAAGTAATTCACAACTGTTTATGATCTGAAGCCCATTTCAGTTAATATTTTAAAAAGCAACATTTATCATGCAAAAAAATATTAATATTTCAACTACCTATCCTTATCCTTTTAGAGCTCAGTAAATGCCATTCTTTTGTTGCAAAAAAATATTATGAATATTAATATGACGATTTTAAACAATAGCAATTGCGTGCTTATTGTTCTTCAAGGACCATATTGGTGCCAATCACAACTGTACATACAAGAATTTAGTATTTCATATTAGCAGTATGGATTATTTTTATAGCAGTGTAATGGTGGTTATATACAGGGTAGGAAACACGTTATACAATGCAAGTGACGTCTAACCATCTAATTGTCTTACAAGCAGTGCTTACATTCTCACCTTCCCATCAGCACCAAGTTCAACTCCTTCAAGTCCAAGTATCATTTCACGTGTATTCATGCCACCGGAAGAATGGCGCTGCCTTGTTCCTTCCAGTTTTGTGTCCCTGTGTGTGACATAAAAACAAACTCAAAAACAGTGTAGAACTGCATTTAAATGGAAATTTACACCATCAATGTGACAACACATCTGAATCAGACTTTATTTTAATATGTCACAAGGATGAAATTTTCAAGACAGAATGATCTTGGGGTGTCATTTTGGTGCATAACTGGTGATCTTTATGCTGCAGCTAAAGAAATTACAGTAAAAGAACTAGTTTTAGTTTCAGTTTTTTTAAATGGACAAAAAAAAAAAAAAAAGGTAGGGTAGGAGAGGAATCAAACGCGTGTGTCTCATCAGAAATAATAACAGGAAATGATAGCAAACCATACAGAAATAGCATCCTTGGTTGTCAGACAGATGGAACCTTCTGCCAGATAGTCATACCTGTGAGCTCCCCTGAAAAACTGTGTGAAATCAACATTTATTTGTGCAGTGGTATTTAAAAATAGTGTTTCCTGTGTATGGAGGTATGTATTGAGTATGGAGGGAGCACTAGCACATAGGAAGTATATTGTTTTGATCTGTCAGCAGATTTCTACATTTTCATTGTGATAAGGAGCAGTAAAGCATAACCACTGTATTGCACTGCAAAGCAGGAAGCAAACCTGAATATGTAATATGCTGCCCCATACAAAATCGACGGTACTTATAGTAGCTCCAAGGATTTTTAAATTAATAACACATTGATAACCATATTTAGATAAAGCTGATCTCTCTTGCATATTTATCTAATCAAAAGGGGAAAAACATAATACATTTCTCAGCTATATGGCGCTCCCTGAAAACCCACCTCTTCAGGGAAGCCTACCCCACCCTCACCTAACAGCCGCTGCCCTTCCCTCCTCCTACCACTCTATCCCCCACAGCCGTTTCCTCCTGTGCCTCTACCCCCTCCCTCCTAGATTGTAAGCTCGAAAGAGTAGGGCCCTCTTACCCCTTGTGTACTGTTTGATGTTACTGTTCTGTTTCATGTATTGTCCCCCCTCTATTGTACAGCGCTGAGCAAACCCTTTGGCGCTATATAAACTCGATAAATAAATAAATAAATAAATAAATAAAATATGGGTGAGATGTATGACTATTCATTGCAGTACTACATAAAAATTTAACACTGGATAAGACCTGGCCATTCCCTCATTTTGTCCAAAACAGAGTAGCCATTTCCACCCTACCAGCTTTTTTCTGAACACAAGAACATTTCTTTAAAATAACCAACTTCTAAAGCATGATAATATCTAACAGCTGAAAGCTTTTTACCTTCATACATTCTATATATGAAGGTAAAAAAAGTTTTCAGTGTGCAGATCACCCCGCAATACTTACCTGAGCGTGATCTCAATCCAGTGATGTGCATGAGAGCAGCAGCTCTCCAGGGTCTCGCTCTCCTCACTGGCTGAAACACAGCAGTCAATCGCAGTCAGTGAGGAGGAAGCAGGGGGCGGAACTCAGCCACACTCTGTGTGTCCCATAGTCACATAGAGCCAGCTCGGGAGCCAGCACAAATAAGTGTCCCCAGAGCAAGTGGCTTGCTCTGGGGGCACTCAGTAAGGGGGAGGGGGTCAGAAGCAGTGGTGAGGTACCTGATAAAGAGGAAGATCCAGGCTGCTCTGTGCAAAACCACTACACAGAGCAAGTAAGTATGATGTGTTTATTATTGAAAAACAAAAACAATCTGAGCCTTTAGAACCACTTTAAACCCAATATAACATATTCCCCAATCTCCTCAATTTTGGTGGTCCATCCCTCCTAAACCTATGAAACCAAGTCCCTACTATAGAATTAGAATGTAGCACCTGAATTATCAGACTATCAAACCGGATATATCATAGTTCCCAACCTCTATTTTGGTGGTCCATCCCTAATTCTCAGGACTTTATTGGGTAGGGCTTGCACATAAGTGGATTGACTAGGCTGAAGGATGTACATGGTTGAGTGTATCCGATTGAGATTTTAGTTACATATAGTTGGTTAGGTTCAATAAAGACACCAGTCCATCCAATTCAACCTGTGTGGGTGTTTATGTCAAAATCTTTTCCCATATACCTGTATATTGCGTTAATTAAGATGCTACAAGATTAAGAAGCTAAAACCACCAATTTTAGAAGGGAGTTTTACATCCTTGCCACTCCGACAGTAATGAGCCCCTTATGCCGTTTAAAGTTAAACAGCTTTTCCTCCCACCCCATTGAGTGGCCGCATGTCTTCTTAAGCTCCCTGAGACTAGTTTTCTCCCTATGTCAGAATCACCATCAAGATATTTGTTTATCACTATCAAATCTCCTTTTAGATCTCTATTTGGAAAATAAATTCTCATATAATTCTGTTACAAAGCAGGTCACTTTTTGATTAGGCTCTGATGGAAGCAGCCATTACCTGAAGCATATGCTACATACTGCATCTGGGGTACTCAGGATAAAAATGTAGTCCCTGCTATAGAACTACTATGTGGCATCCGAGTCATCATGGAATGGCTAAGAAAAATTTATGGGCGATTTGCGTTGTTACCGAGATTTTAAATATACTATCATAAAGCTTTAAATATTTTTTAGGACAATATAACTATAGATTTACATGTTATAATACAATACATAAAAACAGCAATCAATCTAATAACAATGGTTCATTGATGCAAAAGACCCAGAGAAGTTAGTGATTACTGCTGAAATGCTTACTACACAGGTTATTGCAGTTAGTAGTCCGTTAAAGAAGCATTGAATTACCAATTAAATTAACCTTGTCAAACCAACTAAACTGACTTAATAAAGGGGGGGGGGGGGGCGAGAGTCTCACTTGGCATACTCCTTTAACATACAGGACAGCTAAGTACCGCCGTAATTGATTTTTCAACAAGTGTCAGTGGAGTATGAATGCGATGATAACCGGGCTCTGGGTACGTGAACGTATTCTGATTCACAAGAATACTCGCAGTCATTAATCTTGCAGTGATGGAGCATCTGACTTACAAACACTGCCTTTGAAGGAAGCAGGCTCCGTATGAATTCGTATGACCTTGTATATGCTGCACTAGATCTCATTACTTTCATGTTTAGGAATGTGTGCCTGCAAAATTCTCTGTAATAGCATTTGTTAGCCATACACCAAAAAAAAACCATTATTTCTTCATATTTTCAGACAGCCAGGCAAAATCTAAAACACACAGCAGGCTTGCCAGACACTCGTTGTTAAAGTTATAACATCCGGTAAACAGTTATGAATAATTTAAGTAGTATTATTAAATATTTAGTGAACTGAACAAAACGGATCATTTTGCTACAGCTTGCTAAAAAAGAACAAGACAGAAGACGATTGGGTACTACAAAACACAAAATGTTAAAAAAACTCCATGGCACCTTGCCTTCGATCATTACACACCTACAAACTTCCAGCAAGTCTTTGTTCAAAAGACACAGAATTTTCTCATCAGGACATAAGCCTCAGGCTGATGAAAATCTAAAACCTAAATCCCACCAAAACAGACAGGAAGAGTTAAAGTATCTGTCTATGACATCACTGGAGAAATTTGACAATGCTTCCTGTCCCTGTGACGCCCGCACAATAACTGGGGTGATGTGCATTATTCACAGCACATTAAAATGGTTCTAAATGCTCAAGGCTTTTTTTTTTACCTTCATGCAGGTCCCCAGCCCCCCTAATATTCACCTAAGCCCTCTCTCGATCCAGCGATGTGCACTGGAGTCTCAACTTTCCCAGACTCCCTCTTCTCATTGGCTGAGACAGAAGCGAGAACCAGTGGCTCCAAGTGCTGTCAATCATAGCCAGTGAGCCAATGAGAAGAGAGAGGGGGTGGGGTCAAGCCATGGCTCATGTGTGAATGCGGGCACCTGACAGGAGAGCCTGCGGGGGACCCGAGAAAAGGAGGATCCAGGCTGCTCTGTGCAAAATCACTGCACACAACAGGTAAGTATAGACATGTTTGTTTTTTGTCTTACAAAATAAATATTTAGAATCACTTTAATGCACAGGTAAACATAAAAACACAGTCAGATCTTCTAAAATGTGTTTTTGTGTTGTATGTGTGTCCCTGTGGGATAGATTTTTCATGTACCGGAGGGTCACCAGCTCTCTGCTCACTGAAGACTGAAAACTGAGCAGTTTTCAGTCTTAGGAGCAGCAGGGAGAGATGCAGCAATGGATCGATAACGTAGGTATGTAGGTTTATTTAAATTTTCTTTTTTCAAAAATGTTTTCTTTTTTTTTTTCTCCAATTATTTTTTAATTAGAATACTCGCCTAATGTAAAAGCAGGATATTTGATTGTCACCCCCCATGTTTTTCACAAGCAGGTTTACTTTATGATTGAGCCTAACAGCTACAAAAAAAAAAAAAGAAAGGGAGATCTTATGCTAAATAAACATAAAATATACTGACTCTAAAGAGTTTCCTATAGCCACAACCATAATTGGACTGTCTGCAGGCAAGCATGAAATAAACAGAAGGCAGGAGTCTGCAGGCCTCAATAAGGTTACCATATACATGTATAAAAGCCAGGTCTTCCAACTTAAAATTTATACCAAGGGTTTCAGAAGGCATAGGTCCATAACTGAAGAGTCCTAGAGGATTTTGACTCAAGAACCACTGTACAGCAACTCTATGGCTGTTGTATCAGAGTCAGACTCCCCAAGATAATTCATTAATTTACTTCTTAGACAAGGAAGGTACTAGAGACATAAGGACTTAGGGTGCGGGTAGCTTAAGTAGTGTCGGACTGACAAAAAACCTCCAATGAGTGCTGCTGGATGCCAAAAATAGCAGAGCTGCAAAAACAAAGACAGACAGATTTGGCTAGACAAAGGGAATAAAAAAAAAAAATATATATATATATATATATATATATATATATATATATATATACATACATACATACATACATACACACACACATATATATACACACATACATACACACACAGTATATTTGGTCAGCGCCTACTTTTAAAGGATATTTTAAAGCATACTATGTGGGTGATGCTGACAGAGAAAC